CATTTATTATCAACTACAAACTGACCGCAAAAAAGCCAACCGCTAACTATAAAATCGTTGTCAAAGCGACAGAGAAATATAAAGATAACAAATTATATCAGCCATAATGCAAGTTAAGTGATGTGGAAAAGCCGGGTGCAGAGAAACCATAGAGATATGTATCACGTGCTATGTCTATGGTCTTATAGATAAGTAAAAAAAAAGTATATTAAATACCATTATTTGATTGTTGCATAAAAACATAGAGCACCATAACTTAATTACATTCAAAGTCTTTAAGGACTTACACTAAGAAATTGCTTAAATCTATATATAAAAGAAAGTCGTGTTAGTTACACTATTTATAACTCAAGAACGGCTTTACCGATATGGCTGAAAATTGGTAAGAAGGTAGCTTAGAGTCAGGAGACGGACATAGGATACTATTTATTCATATTTTTCGAATTTATGCCTTGAAGAGTTGCTTTTAATTTAACTAATATTATAAATGCGAATGTTTAGACGGATGTGATGTGGATGGATGAATGGGTGGGCTACACTAATTAAGTTTTTTTATATATCCACGCGGACGGAGTGGCGGGCGACAGCTAGTAATCATTAAAGTGTTAGTGACGCAGTAAATTATTCAGCGAAAAACCCTAAAGACAGGCAACACTGTGCTCTCTCTATTGGATTAGTGAAATAGCAGGGCTAAAATCAGTTAAGTAGCTATATTAATAATCTGTAAAATGTCTTCAAAAAGCCATTTTCTATGTTATATTAACATTTATTCAATCGATATTTCGTCCGGCGCTATTCAGCAGTTTTAAAGGCATAATATAGGCTAGATAGTCTCATTAAATCTTCAAGTTAAAGATAACCTTCTATGACCCGTGTCTATCTATATTTTTTTTTAGTATCCGCGGCAGATGTTCGCAGAAAGGACAATATTTCATATGTTATTGTTCTGTGGCCGAACGTCACGTTGTGCCTTTGCCCGACGCGGTGACAGTTCACCGCGATATAAACGTCGTATGACAGCCCGCCAAATTTTGTTGTCTATTTATTTCGATAAAGTATTATAAATGAATTAGGCTTGTTATTTAATTTAGTTGTAAAATAGTCCTTTAATTTTATATTATATATTCATATTAGGTTATTAATTTAAATTCGGGTTAAACCGTGTTTAATTTTTTAACCTAAATATTATATTAAGAAAGAATTACTTCGACTATCTAAAATTGGATTAGGAATAATTAATGTTTGTAAAATGGTTGAAAAAATATAACTTTAAATCGCAAAAATTATCAAACATTAACAAAAGAATACAATCTTTAATAGAATTGTCTATATAAAGGGTTGAAAAGATATTGTCAAATTAAAAGAACTAAAGTGCGAAAGGAAGAAAATAATAACAAACACTCGAATACCCAAGAAAATCCGATTATGAAACGAATCTCGTAAACATTTGAGCATCGCTGTGAAGTGTCAACCGCTTAAGCCGACATAATGCTTTTAAAATCCCAACCCAATTTAGCGAGCGCAATACCAAAAAAAACCTCTATAGATTTCATTGTACGAAATAATACTAAAGAAATACAATCACATTGTACTCTATTCTAAAGCAATAAGGTATAAAATCCTTTAATTTTTATTTATTATAAAATTGTCAATCCTTACAGAACCGTTGACTTTTGCTATTGAGTATTTCATTGTGATTTTAACCACAATAGCTAATGTACTCTTGTCCTTTTCAACATTGTCATCTATACTAAGTACTCTGATATGCAAAATTATTATTAAATTTAGAAAATATATTTTAATCTTTATCTCTATAGCAATAAAGATGTATTTTGTATGTGATAGTATACTTTGGTTGTGTTTTATAAGTTTGTTATTTGCTGTAATTGAATATTTGACTTTGGTAAGTACGCGTGACTGGGCAAGACGCGGTGTGTCGAATTTCGTAGACATTTTAATTATAAGCACAGCTTGATCTATGTTAAGAAAGTGTTATAGAATTATGGAAAGTTTGAACACTTTAATATAGTTTTCTTTTTTTTTTAATACCAATTAAAATTATAGAAATTCATTACGCTGACTATCAATGATGGGCAAAATCGTAGGCAGAAGACGAGTTGGATGGAGGAGAAAGTCGTGGCTGAAAACCATCCGGGTATGGATCACTATTTCCAGCATTGAACACCTCTTTCGCTTGGCACAGGACAGGAATGGGTTCGCTAAGCTGACGGCCAACCTCCATTAGAAGAAGAAGACTATCAAACTTAAGATACAATAAATGGCCATAAAGGAAGGCTAATTGTAGATTAACTGTAAGAAATATACACTAAGGAAGGATGAAATAACCAAGCAATAACTTACTGGATTTAGCAGTTAGAGTTCTAAATGGAAAACATTTATTTTCTAAGCCCTCTACTTGTCATTATATCATTAGCCCTTAGTAAGTTTTTATAAAATCTGAAATATTTTAATACATAGTACAGCAGCACAAGAAAGAAGAAAAGCGGTAGCTACACTCAAATCCCATAAACAACGGAAACGCATCTGCGGTTCCTCTGGTATTGCTGATGTCCATGGGCGTCGTTGAACAACTCGGTGTTCCCGCTGCTCGTTTGCCCCCTACTGTTATAAAAAAAAACAAAAGTTCATTCCGAGATTCTGAAGTCACGATCCTAAATAATTTTATGCTGTTACTAATTACTAATGATTCAATTAAGCTTTTCATTAGGACAATTTATCTTAATTCTAATATTATAAATGCGATTTACATGGATGGATGAATGTTTGTTTGAAGGTGCGGAACGGTTCCACGGATTCTCATTAAATTCGGCACACATTTAGAACATAGTCTGGAATACATAGACTACTTGTTAAGTTTTTTTAAAAACAAAGTGATCTTATAAGGGTTCCGTTTTTTTTCCTGTGAGGTACGGAACCTTAAAAACCACGCGTACGGAGTCGCGGCGATAGATTGTAGTCTAAAAGTGTCCCTTATATTTTTTTATTGAATAAATAAAAAATACTAATATAAAACAGTGCTGAATGTTACCGTGTACACAATAAAAATATGGTGAAAATAAATGGTGGTTTTGAACAATAGTGAGAAACATTCGCACATCTGTTCCGCCCCACCCATCTGTTTAAGGGCTGCGTTTATATGACGCCCCTTTTTAATATCTAACCTTTATGACAAGATATAGAATCCTGTTGTTTTCTTAAATATATATATAAAAAAAACTGAACACATATATCTAATATTTTACTCTATATTTTCAAATATAGGTTTTACTATCAGTTTACGTATTAAGTTTTTATTTTACACAGTTTAGTATAAGTTTAACGGCTGCATGGATCTCGTAAAACTTAGCACAAATATTTACTATATCCTATGGTCTGGGAGAACAAATGGACTACATACTTTTTTAATTCGCGTGGACGGAGTCACGGGTGAAATCTGGTTAAAAAAAAAACAAGAGAATTAACAGCTTAAAGCATTGATAATGATGCATGTAATACTGAAACGCTAATAATAACACTTATACCAAGTTTATAAAACTTTTTTTATTCAAATCACCAAAAATAATTTCCGAACGAAACTTGGAGTTTGTATACTTTCGATAACAAAAACGACAATAATTTCGTATTTTCAAGAGTTTTACAAAAGTTTTCTTTTCCATCTAATACTAACTTAAAGCAAAAAACGAATAGAAATATGTATTGTATGTGATTTTTTTTAGATTAAGAATATTCATTTTCTTTACAGCTACGACAACGCCATCTTGTGTTCAGGTATCTAAAGAAATTAAGGGTAAAAACCAAAAACTTGTTGCTTTCAGCCAACAGATGTCGCTAATGTTAAAATTTCATGAAAACATTAGAATTCTAGGTAGTTCTATTAGGACATTAGATTCCCTTTACTTATGTTTCTAATTCCAATAGATTTTTCCCATAATCTTATTAGAAAAAAATATTTTTAATCCAATAATGTCTAAAATAAATAAAAAAAAATATCTTTTAATTTCATGTGCCTTGTTATCAAGTAAGGAAATTATTGGATTTTATAAACTTATATAAATATGTTAGCTACAAAGTAAAGAACAAAAACAATGTCGAGGACGTAATCGATTTCTACAAGATTACGTCAGCCGAGCTACGAGGGTCGTAGAGCATGCGTAGCGATGACGTAGTCTCTAATAGCTACGGAATGACGTAGACATAACGCCTACGAGAATGCTACGCGTTATAACTATGTAATAATTTATGGAAATAATTTTGATATAATAATTGTATCCATTAATTAATATAAATCGAAATTAATAAATTTATTAAATGACACGTATATAAATAAAATATTATCTAACATAAGTTTATTAGTATGATTACTTAATTATTTATTTTCTTTAACTATTAATAAGAATAAAGTTCATCTACTATTTTAACTACAGTTTGTTTTAATAATTAAAACAAGAAGTGTTCTGATATAGTACTGTATAAATACAATTTAATTAATTAAAAGCAGATTTATTTTTTCCTGAGTAAAATTTTATACATTCAGTAAATAAAATATCATAAAAATGTTTCATGTTTGCTGAATCCAATAGCTTTCATTCATCGAAATCATTAACCTGTAAAATAATGGAAGCAAACAAACAAAAACCTCTCAACTTGAGGCACAATAAAAATCCCTTGCAATTATACATGACAAGTGTAGAGACGCCATGTCTTCATTTTATGTCAATGCCGTAACAATTTTATTCAATAACTTATAACAACAATAACATTCCAATTAGAATCTTATAACTTAAACTATAAAGTCCAATTTCATAACGAATACACTTCAATATTTCAGATTAAATTATAACAAACAAATATAAACTTTATTGTTATAAAAATAAAAATCATAAATGAATAATGCATGTTATTAATGTGTGAGTGTGAAGACGCGCAGACGCGAGATTTCTACTTCTGCCACAGTCGGCTTGGCGGCGCCACTGCGCTCGGACGCGTTGTGAAACCCTTGGGGATACCAAGCCACTTTATTCTGTGATCCTGATTCAATTGTGCGCTATTAAAAAGGATTCTTTCAATCTAATTCTTACTTCAATTTTAACTCAATCATAGATTTTAGTTAAACATTATACTACATATTAGTCTTTGTTAATTCATTATTTAATTTCTTTCTTAAAGGATTGATTCTAAATTTAGATAATAATAATGGGCGTTGTATATTGAAGTTGTTTGCCAGGGGTGCCAAACATTTTCAATAGCGTGTGTTAGTTACGTAACCTCGCCGGGGAAAATCGATATCCTGAGCGTATAAATAGCGACCCACGATTTAGAACAGCTGGCTGGCCGCCAGACGAAATGCAGCCTGTGGTGAGTTATATGAATCTTTACATTATAAAAGAAGAATTTTCCAACACACATGTACATTAGAATTATTTTGTAGTAAAAGCTGTCGCCCGCGACGCCCTCCGCCGGAATTAAAAAAAAAAATTAATTAGTAACCGATGTTCTTCCGGACTATGTTCTACATCTATGCCAATTTTCAGAAGCCGTTCTGGAGATACCTTTAAACAAACTTCTATTCATCCATACATTTGTTAAGGAGATAGATAAATTGTGTAAAAAAGGAAACCAGTAAGGCACCTAAAGTATGCAATTTTTCATAAATTATCTTCCTGCCCATTCACCTACATAGTGTAGACACATTATGTACTCCTCCATACATCTCTATCAGCTAATATCTGAATTCACCCTCTTCTTACTCTTATCCTCTTTCACACAATCCATCCATACTTCAGTCTTCTTCTCTTTTAACTTTATAAAGGAATGTAATCGAAAACTTTACATTTAAAACATATAAAATAAATTAAATAACTTTATTGATGCTAATAACTTAAGCAATTTGTTATTTTAAATATTATCATAGTAGATAACCTACGTGACATGTCTTCAATAGATAAATATTGTATCTAATGTCATATGTAACTATAAATAGATTGTCAAAGCCAAATGTAGAGTATCCATTAGATTAGGTAACAATACATAAATAAAACATGTCTTTTTTATATCATAATGTGGCAAACGAGCGAGCGGTCACCTGAAATCGCTGAAATAGCGAAGTGACCGTTGCCCATAGACATACGCAATTGCATATGCGTTGCCTACCTTTAATCCACGGAGGAGAGGATGCACAGAAAGAAAATATTTTCCCTTGCCATGCATCCTCTCATCCGGAAAGTCCACTTCCACTTCCCATCCTTTCCTTATAAGAAAAAGGTGGGAAGGGAAAGAGGACTTAAATTAGGCCTCTGGGACGCACACTCATCAGACGAAACGCGGAATTGCTTCCGATTCACGCCTGTCTTCTGTGTGGTCGTGATATTTCACCGGGCGGGAACAACCAATTAGTGTGAAGATGTTAATGCGGGCTCTATCACTGTAAATACCACTGTTTTCAATCATTCTTATTTTTCTTCGTCGTTGGAGTATTTTCAGACTAGCCGTGGTCATCAGGTATCTGTGACCCGCTTTAAGAGACGCCGCTCCTCCGTAGTCGCTGTCTTGTTAGTACATTGGTATAGGGGGACATCTACAGCCGCTTTGATTTAGTTTAGTTTAAAAAAAAATACCGAGCAAAGCAATATTATAATGGGAATGTTTGGATGGATGGATGTTTATTACAAAGTATCTCCAGAACGGTTTTATTAGTTGAAATTTGGCATTGATGTAGAACAAAGTCTGGAAGAACACATAGACAACTAATTATTTTTTTAATTTCCACCCAGACGGAGTCGCGGGCGAAAATTAGTTACATCTATAATACATTATTTTGGAACACTCTGTATTCAAACTTTGCTAATATACAGTCTGTTAATTAACATAACATTTATAATTAAAACAAACATAATCAGCTAACATTCGATATGTTTAATTACTGAGATCAAACGCTTTGTAAAGTAAATGGATACGTTTCTAATGAAGGTAAAGATAAACATTGGATAATCTTAATTAAGATAGGATACGGATAAGGGTTGGAGTAATTGCATTGAAAGATTTCAAGCTATTACGTATGTTTTTGTGAACATTTTTGTGTTACTAATCCATCATTATCATCATCTCGCTATAAGTCCCCATTGAGGGGCTCAGAGCAAAGCAAGTTAGGTGATTAGGCCATAGTCAACAACGCTGCTCCAGTGTGGATTGACTTCACACATATCTTTGAATTACTTCACAGATATGTTCAGTATCGCGATGTTTTCCTTCATGGTAAGACCGCTAGATAAAAAGTACATATGTCAACCTATAACACATTGGTGCATGTCGGGATTCGAACCTGTAGATTACAAGTCAAGTGCTTGACGTAAAAGCTATCGTCGCTCACACATTTGATTTTACAAATTAAAGCCATTGTGGCTTGTAAGCATGATACGAGTTGAATAGTTTCTATTATAATAAATAAATACAATGGATAGTAATTGTTTAAAACCCCGGATTGATTTGAAATACGAGAAAAACTGTTTCGTACTCTGAAAGTATTACGTCAAGTGACATTAATTTGGAAAAGAGCCAACTTTTAACTTAGTTCAACTTTGAAGCAACAAATATAAAGATTACCTCGTAATACATAGCTTTAATCTTACTTACTACTTAATATAAATGCGAATGTTTAGATGGATGTTTATTTGAAGGTATCTCTAGAACAGAGTAGAAGGAGTAGAACATAGTCTGGAAGAACAAATAGGCTATTAACTAAGATTTTTTTTTATTCCCGCACGAACGGAGTCGTGGGTGACAGCTAGTAATTGATATAAGACGTTTTAAATCTATAATAATATTACCCAAGTAATAAACTTGCAGTGACGTAATATTATTAGCTTCCAAACAAAACCAGCTAGTCTCAATTCCCAGACACTTTGGCACCACATATCTTATTGTGTTGTCCTACTTTCGCAAAGTATACATATATTGAAGCATAGTAACATAAACTACGCGAAATATTAACATGTAATTTTGGCATTTGAAAAACTTCTTGCGACTAATGACTCAATTTTCCAATAATTAGAAAAACACTATGAAAAGTAATTAAAATTTTAGTTCCCAATAAAATTCCAGAAGGAATAGATCGAAAATACCACTATTAATTCCATTGCCGCTTTTATTAAATGCTTTATAAAGCAATTATATGGTCAAGCTGCAATGTAAAATTCTTGAGTCAAGTCAAGGTTATTTCGGAGACAGGCCGGCACCGGAGTGACGTCACAGGCGTCTCGGAGAATAAGCTAATGTCTTACACAAAAGTTTTGCGTCAATATACGAATTTATGTTTTTCTTGTTCAATTACATTCTAGATTACATTAAATAAATTGAATTAATATTAGTTACTAGCTTAAAGATTTATTCTACTAAAGGTCTTGATAGAATGGCCGTAGAACAGGATAACAAATTTGTATTGACGTCTTTGGACAATGATTGTCGGTCGACAATGAGTATGAGTTCAAGCAATCATATTTGTTACATCTTCTTCTGTTTATAAAATGTTCCGTATTATGATTCTTATTTATATTATGGATTTTTTTTGCTGTATATATAAAACAAATTATTCACTTTTAAATTACTAGCTCGCTCTGAACTTTGTCATCGCAGAATTAAAAAAAAATAGTAGCCTATATACCGCGTGCATTAACTACCTTCCCGTTAAATTCAAGTTTAAATCGTCTCTCGTTCTGGAGATTACCCGGAACACACACACAGGAATTACAAGGAACTTGTGGACAGACACACAGACAGACACAGAAATTCTTAAATTTGGTTAATCGTTAGCGGCAATGCAAAACACGTGTACTAAGTTTTTTTTATCGATATTACATAAAGACATTCCATTTTTAATAATAACTGTGTATAGATGTTCTTACTTTACTTATAATTTTGACGAATAAGTAAACGTAAAATTTCCAATTTGGATTCTGCCCGGGGCTCGAATAAAAATAGCTCCCAAGAGGTTAAAGTGGGATGGGTTGATAAGGTCAGTCAGCTTTCAAATTCCCGAACAACCTCCAAAGATAATCGCTTTTCTTTAATCTACAATCTTCATTCGTTGGATCCAATCCGACTTTTCCTTTATTGAAATAAATGTGAATGTTTCAAGATATTTTTTTTAATCTGTTACCTTGTCTACTGAATCATCGTTAATTTAATTTAAAAGTCTCTGTTTCTTTGTTTAGATTTATTAGGATACTAATTATTTTTAACTAATACTAGTTGTGTGTGACTTTTTTTTAACATCATAAGGTTGCAAACGAGTGAGCGGCCACCTGTAATCGCTGAAATAGCGATGTGACCGTTGCCCATAGACATACGCAATTGCATATGCGCTGCCTACCTTTAATCGACGGAGGAGAGGATGCACAGAAAGAAAATATTTTCCCTTTCCATGCATCCTCTCATTCGAAAAGTCCACTTCCACTTCCCATACTTTCCTTATAAGAAAAAGGGTGGGAAGGGAAAGGGGACTAGATTAGGCCTCCGGGACGCACACTCATCAGACTGTACACGGAATAGCTTCCACTTCACGCCTGTCTTCTGTGTGGTCGTGGTATTTCACCGGGAGAGCCGGGCCATTCCGTGCGAAGATGTTAAAGCGGGCTCTGCCACTGTTACTTTGTTCATATTTAATCGTTTTAATTGTTTTCTTAAAATGCTTTGAAAAGTTCCTATGTTTTTTCCACTGTCCTTTTGTTCATGTTTCCATTATCACAGATAAATTAGCGGTGTGACAAAGGTGTATGTATAAGTATACATTATAGTATAATGGATACATATTTAAATCAGTCGATAATAAATATATCGATATAGCGATAATTTGCACGTCACATCACCAGACCACTTAAGATAAGTCGTATGATTTAACAGATAAAGTAATAACAATAGTTTAAAAAAAATCCGTTTAGTTTTCTGTTATAAAAGAAGCCAATGCAACATGTTTACGAAATGTGTGTAAAGATTATTGTCTCTGTTTTTTTATAAACGAATGAATGGGACGACAAATATATTTCATACTTTGTTTCGACAGTAGAAATACACATATGCGACGCAACAAGGCTTCTCGTTAACCAATATAAGTTGACCTATCAGTTTATTTTATATAGTAAGAAATAAGAATGAAATTAACACCTACGCTGGATCTACGTACACTGGTTAGGTGGTTTACATATGAGCTGTCTCATTACGTTTTCGGATCAATAAAATGTTATATGAACGCCTTTGGAAAGAAATTATTAAGAGTATTTTTATAGAAAGGTTTAAGAGCCAATTAAAATGGTATTCCATTTTCAATTGTCAAACGTTTGTACAAAAAACATAGTTATCTTTGTTTATTTAAAGCAAATGAAAGGGATGAAGATATTTTTGTATACATCTTTTGAATGATTCCGTGCAAGTTTAATGTTCAAATTTCTTTTACAACTTAGCACTATGGCATTCGGCTCTGAAAACAACGGACGGGTAAAGTCGTGGGCGACCGCTAGTATTCATATAAATAAGATATAAAAAGTAACTACGTCTTAAATATCAAATTAAAACCCTTATACGTATAGTCGTTTTATGTCGTCGGTTACATTTTACGTCTTCATAATCTTGTAACTGAAAACTTGGACGATATAAGAGTCAAAGACATTTTATTGCGCATAAAAAGAGATATTAAGGTAGCCTTTTGAGTAGGATCTTTATACTTAGATGATAAAAAAATTAAAAAAACAAATGTCAATTAACAATCAGCTGTCATTTGACACGTCAATATTACAGTTCATTAAAAATATTGTCTGATATAATGCTTTAATATAATAATAATGCACAAATTAAAAATAGATAAAAGAAGCTTATTGTGGCTTAAATATTATTTATTATTGACGTGAATAGTGAGGTTATTTTTAAAAACGATATTGTCTACTGTTAAAATTACCACCAGCAAATTTCATACGTTCACGAATTATTCCACACTGACCTTAAAATTAATACGACTAATCTACTTTGTTCATCTATCCTTCAACCGTTACACATACAGATGTTACAGAAATATTATTATCTCTTTCTATTTTAATAAATGAGAGGGATGACACTATATTTTTGTACATTGTGTACATTGTTTCAGCAGTGTATTTTTAGCCGTTCGAATTAACAGCTAATTTTCATATTTAGCTAATGTCTGGTGACTGTTAGAGTGCTGAGAATTTCTCTGCCTTCACGCGTTGTCCAAATAATTACGCTTCTAATAATTGACAATAAGAAGTAAGAAGGAACAAGAAGATATCTGTCTTCTGTATTCATATTCTTTCTCTTTCTATTCACAGAGGATGAGAAGACCGCGTCGGCATCGCTGGCTGACAGTGTCGGTGTTCTTTATAGCGTACTCCATCTTCCAAGCGGTGCTGAGTGCCTCCACATCGCCTTTGATAGACAAACTGACGACTACCAGTGAGGATTCTCAGCCAGCAAGCCCTGAACCAAGCTCCAAAGGAACAACAAAAGGTAACAAATAAAATCAACACACTAAACTTGCCGTGAAAGTAAAAAAAAATATATTACAAAAGATAAACATAAGACCAGCATAGCGTCTGCAGTTCCTCTGATGTTACGGATGTCCATGGGCGCTGTTATCAACTCTGTTTTCCGCTAGTTTATCCCCTTTTCTTATAAAAAAAATCAATAAAGTAATGAAGCAATTTAAAAGGGTCTTGACAGACTGGCGGACAAGAAAGTGATTCTATAAGGTATCCGTTTTTTCCTTTCGAGGTATGGAACACTCAAAATAAAAAGAATAAAATAAAATTATATTACCTTAACAGGTACTACTGTAATTTAGCATATTATATAAAACAAAATGTGCAATTAAATAATTAAAAACAGTGAAAAATGAACGGACCAAGAGTCTGTATATGTCGGTTATTAAAAAAAACCTTTCGCGAATGCTTAACTTCTTCCATATTCATATTTCATGTAACATATGTTTTCAGAGGCAATAGCTTCATCCCCTGTACCAGTTACCAGTCAAACCGAGGACGAAGATAGCAGTGAGTTACCACCAGAGGGAGGCAAGAAAGGTCTCAAAGGCTCCGAGGAAGAAGAGGAGGGAGAAAAGAAGAAACAGAAGGATGATGGTTACGTCAAAACAAATGCAAGTAGTAGCAATTTAAAGAATTAATTTAAAAAAAATTGGTCAATAATAATTGCAGCCAGATCCATCAAGCTGTTCAGGAGATATCTCGTGACATCCATCCATCCAAACATTCGCATTAACAATATTAGTAAGATTAGTGATGGTAGTAGAATACTTACATATACAATAACTAGCTGTCGCCGGCGACTTCATCCAAGCGGATTAAAAAATAATAAGTAGCCTATGTGTTCTTTCAGACTATGTTCTACATCTATACCTAATTTCAGCGATATCCGTTAAGCCGTTCCAGTGATATCTTCAAACAAACATCCATCTATTTATCTAAACATTCGCATTTATAATATATAGTAAGATTCTATTAACGTTTCGTTTTCAGGATGAAGATGCTATCCCTACTGTCCATCCGTTAAGGAATTGTACTCCGCCTGCCATTGAACAGGTAAATATTATGTGAATGCAAACTCCTTGGTTACCAAAGAGGTCGAATACTTCAAGATTTGTTAAACAGTACCCAAGTTCAAAACGAACGAGAAAATTAACCCAGGCAAAGTATACAAATCTTTCTAGCTCTTCTGTAGCTAGCTATTACTTAAATTTTATTCTATTATAGCTGTCGCTCACGGCTCCGTCTGTGTGGAAATACAAAAAAAACTTTAATAGAAGCCTATGTCTTCTTGCAGATTTTGTTCGACATCTAAGCTAAATTTCAGCAAGATTCTTCCATCCTTCCTTCCATCCATACATGATGTTAGTGTAGTAGTATAGTGTTATGTATGGCAAATAGCTTTAATAACATTACTTACTTCTTCTTCTTTTTCTTTATTATCTTGTTTAATGTTCTAGTTTCCTCAACCATTGATGGGTCAGACAGCACGTAAACACGGCGGTCTTATTCTTCACATCCTGGTGGCTGTGTTCACCTTTATCGGACTCGCCATCGTCTGTGATGAATACTTTGTCTGCAGCTTGGATAGGATCTGTGAAGGTTGGTTCAACATTATACAAATACTAGTTTGTACTAGCTGTGGTCCCCGACTTTATCTGCGTGGAATTAAACAGTACATGTAGTGTGTTGGAGTATTCTATCGTGGCATCACAGTGATATGTTGTGTAGTTTTCGTTTCTTCTCTTGCCCCAAATAATAATTAAATCTATCCAATGGCATACACAACAAAATTAATAAGTCAATGATTTGCAAAGTTTTCTCTTGTTAATTAACTAAAAATGATTTTACAACGTCTTTTATCAAAGTTCTACGCCTAATAATGGACTGAGCATTGTGGTTATATAGATAATTTATTTGTGGTATTTCCGGTGAAATACCACGACCACACGGAAGACAGACGTGAAGTGGAAGTAATTCCGCGTTTCGTCTGATGAGTGTGCGTCCCGGAGATCTAATTTAGTCCTCTTTCCCTTCCCACCCTTTTTCTTATAATATAAGGAAAGGATGGGAAGTGGAAGTGGACTTTCCGGATGAGAGGATGCATGGGAAGGTAAAATGTTTTCTTTCTGTGTATCCTCTCCTCCATCGATTAAAGGTAGGCAACGGATATGCAATTGCATATGTCTATGGGCAACGGTCACTTCGCTATTTCAGCGATTTCAGGTGGCCGCTCGCTCGTTTGCCACCTTATGATATAAAAAAAAATAGTAATAAGAAATTCAAAATGAATTTACAGAACTGAAGCTGGCGCCTGACGTGGCTGGTGCAACTTTCATGGCCGCCGGTAGCTCCGCTCCTGAACTTGCTACTGTTGTTATTGGAGTGTTTTGCGCACAGGATGATATTGGTATGATTGGACGCAAATAAAATTGAACTTTATAATATTGAAACAAGGTTTAGTTTTACTTTGCACTTCTAATCAAGAAGCTAAGAGGGATGTGTGCTAAGCGTTAGATGTGTTAAATAAAATTAAACCTTATTTCAATAGTATAAAACTCTGTCTTCTGCTTCGGTCTTTGTGAATGTACTCTGTTATTGTTTGTGTAGGTGTGTCTGGTGTGATCGGGTCAGCGGTGTTCAACATTATGTTTGTTATCTCCGTGTGTGCTCTGTGCGCCGGGACTGTGAGCCATCTCAACTGGTGGCCTCTCTGCCGCGACTGTTTCTTCTATGCCCTCTCTATACTTGTTATGCTCTGTACTATCGCCAATAAATACGTCTCCTGGTAAGAATTACTTTTTATTAGTATTGTGCTGCCTTGATGGCTCAGGGGTCAAGCACTTGACTTGCAATCTGCAGGTTCTGGGTTCGAATCCCGCCATGTACCAATGTGTTTTTCGATTTACATATGTACGTTTATCCGTCGTTCTTACGGTGAAGGAAAACATCGTGATGCTGCACATATCTGAGAAGAAATTCAATGATATGTGTGAAGTCAACCAACCCACACTGGTCCAGCGTGGTTGACTAGGGCCTAGTCACCCGTAACTCAGGGTAGGCTCCGAGCCCCTCAGTGGGGAAGTATAGTGAGCTGATAATGAGTTTATATTTAATCTTCTATTGATTCTTAACTGTATTGTTTTGTTTTTAACGTCTAACTAATGTCGGTTATAAGACTTTTTCATAGATTCTAAATTCTTAACGTTTAGAATTTAAAAGACAAAAGCATTTATATTTAGCTTGTGTAGGTCTCACAGATTTCGTAGCATATAAACATTATTCGATCTACAGCTTTCGTAGAACATAAGTGTTGTGTGCTACGATAACCGTAGATCTCGTAGACTATTTAGATGTCTACGAGAACATGTTTTATTGTCACTAGGCCGGAAGCTCTCTTCATGTTGATAATGTACGGTGTCTACTGCATCGCGCTGCGCTTCAATACTGAACTGGAACGTTGGGCGTTGACCTTGCCACTGCCTTTCAAACTACCTACAAGAGAGGAACAGGCTGCCCTCGTTACATACAGGTCAGAGTTATTTCAAATTGGAACCTAGCAATGTTTGTTGAATCCACAAAATGCTTCTTATGGTATTGGAATAATTACATGACTATCGTTTGAGTATTGGGACTTGAGAAGCAATGTATTGTGTTATAGACAAATCAATGTGACACGTATGTTCATGTATTTTTCAATAGAAGTACTGGAGGGCAACCTCCAGCGGCGGCCGCCAATGCTGAAGGCCAGTACACGCAAATGGAGGGACAGACTAAGGAAACTCCTCTACAATCTGCTGGTAGGTCTACAAGGATTTTATTAATCTGTGGCAATCGTCTTGAAATAAAAAAAGTTTGGGAGAACCTTTGTGGTTCTATTTAAAATTTTACTGAACTCTTACTGTTACGACTTTTCTTCAATTCGTGAACCCTAAACTTTATCCCGTCAATGTACATCCACGCCCGAGTCTTCAGTGTACCATTTGTAATGTATGATAAAATCTTACGATAGAACATCGAACATATAGACTGGGACTAAACGGCTAATATTTTTTGTTTTTAATTCGCCTTGTCTGTTATTTATAAAGCCTACAATCCTGATGGCGCTTACGACAACGCGGCCTACAACGCTGAGCCTATCCCCGTGTGGGATCCCAATGCGGTCTGGGACCCCGACCAGGCCTGGGATTCTTCTGTATGTTGACATTTATTTAATAATTTAGAAATATAGAACATTTTATAGTATAATTGATGATAAAAGTGATGAAAGATGACTACGAATAATCAACCCTATAATCAACCCTAAGTTGTTTTTCTATTTATGTGGCTCTTAATAAATAAATGTATTATATATACGTTCTCTACTAAACGAACTCTTCTAAACTACTAAACTAAAGGAATAATGATTATTCTCACTTCCTAATTGATTTTACTAATTTAGAATTACTTAAGTTTAGCCTTTAACTTTATGCTTACGTGCTACAGACGCAAGGAGCGCCCGCGCAACCTGGCTGGCGACCTGAACCTCAACAGACTCAGGCGCAGGCGCAGACGCCGACACAACAACCGCAAGAGAACCAACCACAACAACCACCACAGGTAATCCATTGTTATACGAATTCAAAAGACCATACATACAAATTTCCATACAAAACATACATGGAGTTTTTAAATACTAAATAACTGTGAGGAAGAAAATCCGACACTGTGCCGGTGTACTGGCGCAACACTAGCCTTACTAAAGTATCGACCTTTATGTCCCCTCACTAATTATTCTTACACTAGACTTGGTAATGAAAGCGTGCCATTCGCACCAAAGTATTATAACTATAAATGTCTAAAACAACATAAAAACCTAGTCAATGTGTGAAAGGAACAAGTAATCGATCTATTTCACCTTCCGTAAGATTAAACTGCTGTTAATTAATAATGAGACTTATTACAAAGGCTTAAAGTATAATTTTAATTGCAGCCGATTGCGCCCGCTATGCCAGCGTACTACAAGGCCAAGGAGTACAACCCAGAGACTGCTGTAGACCCACTCGTTAAACCCATCGGTGCAAGTAAGTTTCATGCATTATATTCTTAGGTGTTTAATTTGATTTTATTATTATGTTTTAATACCAGAGGACCTAACACGAATATTTGTGAGAAAATTTTCGTAATGACACCGACAAATGTCATCATCATCAATTTTGTCGATTACGCTACGAATATTCCTGCAAGGACCTCTGTACGAAAATATACTGACATTTTTTAAAATAATTCTAAAATCATCTAAAATATGTTTTTTTTAATTTTGAAAAGAAAGGAAAAATTTTGTGTCGTTTCTAGAATTTTGAAATTGTTCTTTGACGGTTTATTAATTTTGCCATATTCTGATTAGTAGTCGTAATAGTATGTTTTTTAATCTATACCAGACAAGCTGCAGCTAGCATGTTGGTACGTGGCGTTCCCAATCCACTGGTCATGCCGGCGCACGATGCCTGACTGCCGCGGCCGCTGGTACCCGATCACATTCATCATCTCCATGCTCTGGATCTCCTTCTATTCTTACTTCATGGTCTGGATGATCACCATCATCGGTAAGTAATCAACTTATGACTAATTGACTACAATTTTTGTTAAATTTTATTGTGTTATAACGTTCACGTGGTAGGATACGGCCTGTAGTTAAGGTAGGGCGAGGTGGCTACCGCCCAGGGCACCAAGCGTAAGGGGTGTGTCAAGAGCCAGAGTCTGATATGAAAGAACGTCCATGGCGCCACCTATGATGTACTATATTTGGAAGGTGTCCGTAAAAATCTCACCATTGATACAAAGGTTGACTTCGTATATTTCCAGGCTATACTTTGGGCATTCCTGATACGGTAATGGGATTGACGTTCGTAGCGGCTGGCGTGTCCGTGCCTGATGCGCTTTCCTCCCTCGCTGTTATCAAGGAAGGGTAAGCAAAAACAAAAAATAATTAAGTGAGAACAATGCTTCGACAAATCGTTGAGAACTACTTCTGCATTACTCGAAGCTTTAAAAGGTTTTCTTGAATTTTTATATTGTATAGATTGAACATACCCTAACTTTATAAAATACTTACATTTCACCGCGGGTTCGTCTGCGCGGAATTAAAAAAAACACGTTGTAAATAGCATATGTATTCTTCCAGACTATGTTCTATATGTGTGCCAAGTTTCATCAAGATTCGTTAAGTAGTTTTAGAGATACGTAGTAACAAACATCCATTCATCTAAATTAAGTATGTCTTTATCATCTAATCCAAGATACATTCTATTAAAATATTTTTTACACCAGATACGGTGACATGGCGGTCTCTAACGCGGTTGGTTCCAACGTGTTCGACATCCTGGTGTGTCTCGGTCTGCCCTGGTTCATCCAAACCGCCATCATACATCCCGGCAGTCACGTCAATGTCATCAGCAAAGGTTTGTGTCATAGACAATAGAGAATTAACTCTATGTTAACAGATTTACTTAGTTGTACTTGTATTATCCATCGACTAGTTGATCTTCAGTACATATTTCTATAAAATAGTTACAAAAAACACTAAAGAAAAAAAATGTTTCACTTTGTCACTCGTTTAAGCTTGGATTTTGTCACCTCTTGCTGATTCCCATATTGGACTGAGTTGTAGTGGCAAAGGCCAACATTGGCGCCCAATAAAACTACACTAAAGAGTTTGGTACTCGAAGGATACACGGTATTATATTAAGGGTATTCTTGATGTGTTTTTCCAGGCCTAATCTACTCCACGCTGTCTCTGTTCTCAACGGTAATCTTCTTGGTAGTAGCGACGCACGCCAACGGCTGGAAGTTGGACCGTAAGTACGGCGTGGTGCTGATGATTTGGTACCTGCTCTTCATAACCCTCGCCAGTCTCTACGAGCTGAACGTCTTTGGCAACTTCCATCAGCCAGATTGCGAATCTGCGTATTAATTTATCTATAGTTCGTTTGTTTGAAAGTGACAGTTCGATTTCTCATACTCTTTGTCAGACAAAGAATATGTAACCGACCTGTTTTGGCAAAGAGTATGTAACGTCACAATTAAATTTCGAATGTTTGATGGTTGCATAGATTAGAAATAATTAGCATTTGTTTTTTGCTGGCCAATCAATTAAGCTTTTAATGTGTATATTGAATAATGATCTCATAAAAATATTAAACAGTAAATGTTTGTGTAATAAGTTTGAATATATTTATGGGTATTATTTTTCTTTTACGAATAAAGAGCGCGCTACGTGATACTGGCTACAAAAAAATAATAAACAAGAAAAAGGTTGCATATAACGGTCTAAATAAATCTTATGAGTTAAAACACATCGATATTATTATATTATTTATGAATAACACCGATTTAACACACGAAAAGCCCATTTTAATTACTCAAATTTATTTCTAGTCATTCTTGTTTATGTCATAATAATCCATTTAGGAAAATTAATTCGAAAAAGGAAAGTTTAATTTTGATTTTAATATAATATTTATATATTTTTGGTTAGCAAATCTATGGTGTCATTTATTTTTTTAATTTTTTTTTTATCTCCACACAATCGTGGCCTATCCACGCACAAATTAAAAAAACAGCATTGAAATTTCTTTAACTGATAATAGGGTTATCAAACGTAAAACATCGAGATCCACGAATTAAATTTGATAAAAATATAAAATGATTATAGGAAAAAAAAGATTTTAAAATATTTAAAAATAATAATAAGTAATGAATTAGCAATTAGACTCAGCTTTTTAAAATCTTACATAGATCTTTTTATATTATTCTCTCATTCTGATAAATTATAGTCTAGTCATTTTACTTTTATAATATAATTTTAGTTTATATCTTCTAAGTTCATTTACATTAAGAATAGAATTTTTTATTATGTAGTAAGTTAAAAAACACCCATACAACTGTATGAAGACATCCAATTGACATTTCAATAGGTATTCATATTGCTCGTTTGTAATTTAACTAGGTAAATTGTTAACGGACAATGAATTTCAGTAAATCCAATGGTTAACGAACTAAATGAAGGTTTATATTTGAATCTACTACCTCAGTCTTCTTCCTAAAATAATTCCATTTTAATAATACGTGATGCGTATTTTAAAATAAGTAACCGGATCTTCCTAATTTACTCCTTTAGTTTTTATAATACCGATGTGCAAGCAATCTGTAACGTGTTTTCTTTCCATTACCGAAATAGCTAAAACAAAAAATATTCTCATCCCTTTCATTTCCTTTCAAGGAAAAGAGAAAGCAATATGTTTTTGTACTATTTTTTTGGCATTGAAAACACATCGTCGCAAGTCTTTGTGAGCCCAAAAAATGTTATGTTTCTAAATTTTAAAACTTTAAAACTAATGTCAATTATATAATTGGATGTTAATCGTCATTTGTTTATAAAATAATTGTCTCTTTGGACAATTTAAAAAGTTGTAACCATTGATGCGGAATATCTATGGATGGTCCCGTGACTTTTAAGAGACAGGACTTGGACAGGACAGGACGCACTTGACAGGAGTGCGTTGCCCTCTGAAAAATAAAACGAACAATAATATCTTAACTTGCTTGCTTGTATGCTTTTTGTGTGTGTGTTTACATTTTTTTTTAGTATGCGTAATAAGTCATATTTTTATGTACATTATGATTGTCAATATTACCTCATCTCGTGAAAAGTTTCAGATTTTTTCAACAGCGACTCTGCTTGGTCCGTTTCTGTATAGTCATGGTACAACAACCTTACTATAGTTGTTCATATTTATATGGCCGCTATTATATAATTTCTATAGTTTTTTCCATAGTTTCTTCTAAGGAGATTTGTGTGTGAGTTATTAGTCAATTATATGTCGTGTAAAATATATATCATTTGTATGTTTAATGAGTTATTTAAAGTGACAATAATTCTTTCCAATAATTCTGTTAAAAATATTCGCGCCTAAATAAATTAGTTATAATCATATTAGTAGCAAATGTTTAATATAACTATTGCTATTTAGACAAACTGTTATTGTAAACTCGTTGTTACGAGATTCGTTTTTCGTCATTGTGAGGAAGTAAAAACAATGAACTTTGTCTTTGGTTTCTCGTATAACTTTAATTTTTATCCGATTAAAAGTAAAAATGATTTTGTCTATGGTAACTATTAATTCCAAATGTTAACTTTCAAATGACATTTGTTCAAATATTTAACACTGTGATTTTAAGACCATTTGAAACCTTATATTTTTTATAACCTCTTAAAAACATAATTTCAATGGCTTACATAGGAATAACCTGCGTATGCAACAATTAAAAATGTCAATTCAATCTTTAAAAATGTTATATGAACAATTTTGCTCTTATATAAATGTAGTAAAATTTAATAAAACAAATATAAATGTAGAGAAATTGCATCCTAATATAATTATAATAATGAAACCAAATCAATACCATAGATTTTATAGTCTATAGATGAAGAGTTTCGTACAATTTTGACACATAGAAAATCGATTTTTTAAATGTCATTTTGTATTTCAAATGACAACACTAAGGAAATTCACCTCAGCATAAAACCTCCGGCTGGCTAAATACACTTCGTGTGACCAAGAGATAAAAGAAAAAAGTCTCCCGAGTCTGCAAAATATATCTTTAGGTTATAAATCTATGGTATGAAATTTTAACAATAAAACCTAATCCTAATAGAGTGTTAAATCGTAGAAAAATGCGATGCGTCAGCGTAATATATGACATTCAATATTGTAAATATTAGCGGACCATTATAAAATATTAATAAAAAACACTGTTATCAAGTAACGCATCAAATACTTTCTAAATTGTTAAAAATATACGTTGTCGTGTGTCTTGTTGAATTCAGATTTAATTGTGTTTAATTATATTTACTAAATCAATCATAAGAGTTTTAATAATATTTTAAATGTTATAAAATATTCTTCAGTGTGTTCGTATCTACGTAACAATAATTAAAAAAAAATCTTATTCTTATTTTAAAAAGTATAGACAATTTTATTTTTTATTTTCGGCCAGTTGTAACTCGCATTGCCTTTAGCGTAACTGCTATATAGTGCTGCTAAAAATAACTCGTTTAGTAACCGTTATATTTATAAGCTTGCGGCAACATTAATCCGACTTTAAATAATTATTTATTCGCTTCAATTTGTGCAATGCAAGTTAATATTAAAATATAAAATAATTTAAGAGAATTATTTTTGTCAGTATTAAAAATGTTGTTATTTACAAAGTTAACGTTATAACTGTGGTTTTGACTGCCGTGTTACTTTTATTGATATATACTGCTGTCTCTATTTTTTCAAACAGAATGTAAGAGATGACAATATGCATTGATAAAAATGTCTGTACATTGGAGTTTTGGGGTTATGTTTTAGTCGCAAGCTTTCTTAGTCCTCTCACTGTAGGATAGCATTTGTCTATAAAGTAAAAAAGGCTAGATATTTATGAATCTTATGACATTTATCACTTGTTAATTATATTTTACATTATTTTAGACTTAGTGTAAACTATGCTACAAATGTTTCTAATCTCAAAGCTGTTAGAGATTTGTAGAATCTGGTTATACTATTGTTCCAAATAAATTTTAAGCGTTAATTAAGGCTAAAAGTGGACTAACGTTTATAAATTTTCAACGTGTCACTCACAATATAACTTTATTGTATTGACAGGGAGGCGCTAGTGAGCTATCACAACTGACCTTTATAAATGGATAGGCGATAGCTTGGAAATGACAGCTTTTGCTATGTTCCGATTTAAACGCGCCTATTGAGGTTACGTGATAGTTAAATCTATCTATATCTTTGGTTCATATCCACACCACCTCTACAGACCGCAACTTTCTGTGACAAAATGGCGAATAACAAATAGGCACAAAATACTACGTCTCATGCCAGTACATTTATAGAGGTCAGAGGGCTATCATAATTTAGTTTGACTTATGCCGAGTCAGGTTATTTTGTCGCTTGGTACAAGTGAGTTTGTGACACTTTGAAAAGCTATAACGAGGCGCTTACTCTATGGTTATAGAGTTAGTTAACGTTTAGAATTGTCTGAGTTATTCATCTGTAACCCCAACTAGCGTTAGATGTTCGCTCCATTGCCCTTGGGGCTATTTCCGTGAAATAATTGTTAATTACTGTAAGTTATATTACAATGATGTTGAATAAAGATTGAAAAAATTATGAGCATTTTATTTACCTTAATAAAGCAGAAATCATTTGTAAAAAAATTAAGTACTAAAGTGAACAAATATTTTCGACTTTCACATCCAAGAAATTAATATTATGTGTGTGTTTTTACGATGCGTTTTTATTTTGTTACGTGCCTGACCTACTTAAGTACGTATTTTTTTTATATCATAAGGTGGCAAACGAGCGAGCGGCCACCTGAAATCGCTGAAATAGCGAAATGACCGTTGGCCATGGACATATGCAATTGCATATGCGTTGCCTACCTGTAATCGACGGAGGAGCTCTACCACTGTTAAACACTGTTTTACCAAGATAATCAGTCGAAATAAAACAAATAATTGAAATTGAATATTTATTACGCACAATTACAAATGCATTGCTATTCCTTTAACTTGACCAAACTTTCCATCTCATTGATATATATGCATCAGATTTTCAACTCAATTTTGAGTGTGATGGTCCATTCTTTTTACCATTCCTTATATATTTGATTATTAATACATAGAAATACAATTATTACATAAATTACTACATGTTCGAATCAGATGCAAATAAATTAATAGACAACTTTAGCGCAGTCCTTTACGAAGTATCTTACTATGGGTTGCCAGTGACAAAACAGTTTTACAATAAAATATTGTTATCCTTGTCATTCTCTTCTAATGAACAGAGATAACATGACTTTGGTTATTATAGTGGATACGTAAATTTTACAGAATATATGCAAAATAAATAATAATGAGTGCTTACCGGGCTAAGCGGATAATTGGGTTAATAACATTTTTCCCCGGATAACCCGAAAACCCCGGAATAACTCGCTATAAAATACATATTAAATACAACTTAAGAGTAACTTCTATTAAAATAAATGCATTACTTAAGTAATTTGTACGAAAATTAACAATAAAGTATATAAATAAAATCGTTCATAATAAAAACAATTATTTGTGCCGTTCACATTTATTTTAAAACTTAAACTAAATTTATTAAAACGTACTATATTGATTATTGACTCATTAATGTAGTTAATAATTAAACAAATTAATTAAATTAAATATTTCTAGTAACTGGCAAACTTGGGTGGAACTTAATCTTTTGCCGATTTTCCCCGTAGAAATTGAAATATGGCAACCCAAAAACTCTATGCTTGAAATCTTTTTAAAAATCCTGTCAATATTTGACATGTAAAGAACTGGCTGGTTGACATTTTTTTTCTTTTTTGCGCTTATTCATTTTCATTTGGCAAATTCGACTTTGGCACCACCATACCATGGAGGTCGCGGTAAATCTTGATGCGAGCCCATGCTCCGGTCTCATAATCCAATTGGATATGTTTCTCAACGACAAGATATTTCCTTTTCCCCCCATTCATTTTTATTTTCTCCACGGCCTCTGACAGCTTTATCTTTATAACGGAGCCACGTTCGGGATAGGGATTCGCTGAAAAAATTACATTATGTTTAACAGAGTGAATTTGAAGAAATTAACAAAACAAATACAAGCACTAGGGGATTAGACAAAATATATTCGATTTATCGCGATGACTAGAATGGATAAAATGTGTCAAAGATGTACAGTTAAATTTGGCATACATATAGAACATAGTCTGGAAGAACACGTAGGCTACTTATTTTTTTTAATTCCGTGGACGGAGTCGCGGGCGGAAGTTAGTATTGTCTATATATTTAAAAAAAATTACTTCTGCATCCGCGCATGAAGTTGCTAAGAATAATCCTGTCCTTGCGATCCTTAGGTTCGATTTGAAACTGAAAAAGAAAATATGTTATTTAATATTGCATTTAATTATTTAAAAAAAAAATATAGCCAGTAATTTTCACGGTTCTGCGTTTTTTTTTTTGACCATTACAATTACGGCTGTATAAAATATATTTAAAAAAAAAAGGCAAGGTCCTTGTAGTCAAAGAGCGGATTGGACTGATATGACACACGTAGTTGTGCCGGTGTTCCGCGCACATAGATACTCCCTCATCTCATTCGTCCTGTCGATCATTAACAGTGGTAGAGCTCGCTTTAACATCTTTGCACGACTTGGCCCTTCTCGCCTGGTGAAACACCATGACCATACAGAAGACAGGCGTGAAGTGGAAACAATTCCGCGTACAGTCTAATGAGTGTGCGTCCCGGAGGCCTAAGTTTAGTTCTCTTTCACTTCCCACCCTTTTTCTCATAAGGAAAGGATGGAAAGTGGAAGTGGACTATCCGGATGAGAACATGCATCGAAAGAGATAATATTTTTTTTCTGTGCATCCTCTACTCCGTCGATAAAAGATAGGCAACGAATATGCAATTGCGTATGTCTATAGGCAACGGTCGCTTCGCTATTTCAGCGAGTTCAGTTGGCCGCTCGCTCGTTTGCCACCTTATGTTATAAAAAAAGATCGATCTATCTTGATCGCCTTAATCATAATATTACCTCGTAATAATCATCTTCAACAAGTGGCTTCAGAGTTTGTAACTTGGACATAATGTACTCTGCACCTAGCGGAGCTGACGTCAGCTCGCCAGTTCGCTCATCAATACGCCTTCCAGACATTACGGCTTCTATATCAATCATCAGCTGCTGCTCGATTAAACGTTCTATATCTTCGTCACCAAGGTTTGAACTCGATTGTGGGTTTTCCATCTGAAAGTAGACAGCAATTACACACAAGAAACAGAGGATAAATATAAAAAAATGAGAAGCCCCTTTCATTAAAAGTTAAAACTTTTATTTAATTTTTTCTTTTACACTGATAATTTTTTTCCTTTGCACGTACGATTTATTCAAATAAGTACAGTTAAAACTAAAGGTTTTGGAAGACTTAATATTGTAACTGACATACAAACAAACAACAAATCCTTACTAATAATAATAATGCAAAAGTAACTCTGACTGTCCTTTCACTTGTTGCTTTTTTGGATGGCAATAAAATCTTCTTCTTCTGTTCTGTACTGTCTTTCCGGATGAGAGGATGCATGGGAAGGGAAGATATTTTCTTTCTGTGCATCCTCTCCTCCGTCGATTAAAGGTAGGCAACGCATATACAATTGTGTATGTCTATGGGGAACGGTCACTTCGCTATTTCATCGATTTCAGGTGGCCGTTCGCTCGTTTGCCACCTTATGATATAATAATATATCATTGATGGTCGGCCTTTTTTTTTCAGAGAGGAATGCTTTATGCATACTCCGCGCTCCGGGGGGGACGCGGTAGTTATGTGGGATTCTCCTCCATAGCGGAGGCATACCCACTAAACCCCTCTGTTCCTTCATCGCATCGGGACGGGGCCACGGGCACGCTTTCGCTCTCGTCCGCGGACCATTGATGGTCGGCCTACCGTTTTTATATATTAGTATGCGATGATATGAATTACGGTATAAGTTGTTGACGTCATTCAAATATATATGTACATATTATAGCTGCGTCACTTCAATATTTAAATAGAAAATATATTGCTATAATTTATATATCTACTACGATAACCATTTTTACATATATATGAATTTATACGGTACATACACGAAATTAATATTTTTTACTATTTTTGTCTGTTTGTTTGTTTCGGCTAATCTCTGCAATGGCTGGACCGATTTTGACCGGACTTTTATCGGTAGGTTTAGGATTTAATGAGTAACTTAAGCTACGTTTATAAAAAAAATATTTTACAAAAATAAAGTTGGAAATTTCCAAGTACTGCCCAGTACCGCGCGTAGCTCAAAGACAATATTTCAAGCGGAAGAAGTCGCGGGCACAGCTTGTCTTGAATATAAATAAATATAACTGATAGTTGTCTATGGTTAAAGTGACATACCATTGTTATGTACTAGCGCTGCTAGTCCCGCACTCACTGAATTTCACGTATAATTTAACTGGCAAATACTCAACGATCAAAGCCTCTTTGTCCTCCCTGTTGGAAAAATACAATTATTAATTTCAATTCTATAGAATAACATTTTAAATTTTATATAAAAAGATTTAACGATTAAATAACGGTTAAACAAAAACATAAAATAAGTATAACATGCGAATACCATTTAAAAAGTATTAAAATAAAAATTAAAAGCAAAAAGTTTTTATTATAAAAAAAAATTTGTAATAAATTCAATCACCAATCAAAACAATACGATTTAAATTAAGAATACACAAATTTTTATGTCATTAAAAACAATCATCCACTAATAACGTTTCAATACGACACAAACGTAATCGAAAAGACAAAGCAACAGGAAAAAAAAACAAGGGATGGGGCGTAGCTATATATAAAAATAGATCATAAAAGCTTTCGCGCAGCACAGAATTATAAATCTATTAAAACTTAAAAGAATCACTAAATATGACTATAAATTCAAAAGAAAATAATAATAAAAACATTGAAGGGAATATAAAAAGGACATTTTAAGAGGTATCACAACACCAAACAATATTTGAACGAACACCACCACACTCAACGAGGGCTAGAAGACAAATAATTTACGTAAGATTCAAAGCTAGACGGGAATTCAAATCAATCGATACAGCTCCCGTTTGAATACGCATGCGTAGCCCGGATTTCTAGACTGGGCGTCCGCCATTTTGATTACCTACAAATTCCAACAAAATAACCTTAAAAAATCTATTTTTTTAGATAAATATATTCAAGACAAAGACATCAGTGATTTAATAGACATATTATTTGATAAAATAAGTTATTATAAAGTTTGTAAGCCTTCGGATTTTATACTAAGGAAACAAAGGCCTTTGTTTCAAAGGGACGCTAACAATCTAGGTATACCTGTAGACCACAGGTCGACCTGCGCAGTCTAGACTTGTAATATCGATTATCATCAGCGTCCAGCTCACCTCTTGCATTCCCCTGACCTAATAATTTCAGTGTTGCAATTAAAATAATTGTGATTTTTTTTTAAATCTGGTAACTCATAGTCACATAGACATGGGTGACTTAACTAAAATTTATGACCTGCAAATCAGCTCACGGTTCACATGTATGAAGGAGTAAGCGGCTCACAGCTACATAGAGTTATGATTTGGGTTTAAGTTGCGAGCTGGTAGTCACCAGGCAGTTTGCGGATTATCGACTGATATTGTACATCGTGATGAGTTTCGAGTTGTAAATTTAATTATTGAGCTACAGCTCAATCGTTCAAGTTTATCTGAGCCGAACATTTGAATCGGTTCAGAGCTGATTTACACATTTCTAGTATTATAATTATTGAAGTTTGTCTGAGCTGAACATTTGAATCGGTTCAGAGTTGATTTATATATTACAAGTATTATAATCAGCTGAAGATAGCAACACTACTAGTTAATTTTAGATGAAATTTGATACTCGTATTTTATATACTAGCATACCATAGAGCAAGACCCAGATAAGGAGACAAGCTTTACGCTAGATTTATTTTGTGGACATAGAAGTAGACGTTTGACTCAGAATTTTCCTTGTCATTTCTGATCCTTTCTGTCTTTTTCCTCACCTGGCTGTTTTACTCTGTTTATCATATAACTAAACATGTGTAACTACTTAAGTCATAAGGAAGCTCCAATTTGTCATCTCCATTGGTGAAATACCACGATCTCATAGTTTGCCATCAAATTAATTTGTTATATGTAGGAAATTTACAGTATTAGTTAACTCAGTTCCAATTTATTTTAGTTTTTACAGGAAAGAAATAGCAAGAGGAAGAAGGGAGTAAAAAGAGATTATCCTCTTTCCTGCCTATTAACGGTTGTCTCCTTCTCTGTCCATGGGTAGACAACACTGCATCTTAATAGTCTGCCTATGGATGGTGTTGTCATAACATGAACTGAATCGATCACTCTATTTGCTTTCATTTTCCTAAACAATATATTAGAGAAAGTCTAAAAGTAGCATCAGTGATAGAGAAATTGAGAAGCAAAAGGTTAGTATGGTATGAACATGTTATAAGAAAGGATTGCAAGTGACAAGGAGACCTAAACATATGATTTTGGAGGAGTACACCAGGGGTGGACTTTGAAAGATATTAATGTATTACGTTAAAGATGACATGATTAAGAAGAGAGTTGTAGTATTCGTTGCGCCCCCTGTCGCCCCGCTCCCTGTCTCCGGCATGTACTTATGACGGGTACGTTTGAGACAAACAATAATATGTTTATGCATACACTACAGGAGTCATCATCATCAGCTATCACTATACGTCCCCGCTGAGGGGCTCGGAGCCTACCCTAAATTATGCGTGACTAGACCATAGTCAACCTCGCTGGCAGGTGCGGGTTGGTTGACTTCACACATCTTTGAATTTCTTCTCAGATATGTTGCAGGTTGCACGATGTTTTCCTTCACCGTAAGAACGTCGGATAAATGTACTTATGCAAATCGGAAATCGAAAAACACATTGGTATATGGCTGGATTCGAACTTAGGACCTGCAGATTGCAGTCAAGTGCTTTACCACTGAGCCACCGACGCTACAGGAGTGATAATCGAAATTATAGAAGTAAGTCTTGAGAACGAAATCAGATGCGCTGACGTCAGTGGGATAAGTGAGGGGCTGATATCACCTCACTTGAATGCTTTCATACTGTCTTCCGTGTATTTTGTTTGTATATTTTATATAGGTGATATTAAATAAAAAAAACTCGTATACTTGTGGATACATTTTTATTTCCATTTTTAGTTGTTATGACAGTTTGAAGATGAAACAAAAACTTATACAAAGCAAATAAATATTAAAATTGACTTACATAATGTAATATCCTTTTTAAATTATTCAAACTTTCGTGAGACATTATACTAAACCGATATATAAACACCGCTAAACACTCACGTATATTCTTCGTCCGGTGGCGGCACCGACTAGTTTCGAGTCCATCGGGGGCCCTTCATCAGGATGAGTGGTACTGGTATTACGCGCCACCGGACGAATATACGTGAGTGTTTAGCCGTGTTTATATATCAATATCTTTTTATATATTAAAAACTAGTAATTATAACTTGAATTCGTTTACATACGGAGAGTTTCCTATGTTTTTTGTCCGCGGTTGTTTACATAATAACAACTTTTAACATTACACTTAAAGGCGTGTTTTAATTAAGCGATTATCACATATGAAACTCTCCGTGCGTAAACACTGTTTCGACAAATTTCCCTGAAGCATTTCATACATGTCTTGCGATTTTAAATTAAAATTTTCGACCATTAACTTTGTGCTATTGAAAATCGTACGACATGTTTACACACGTGTTCTCATAAGTGAGTTTATGATTATTACGTTTTAATAATTTAATTATTTCCTTAATAAGATTAATAAATTTACTTACACAAGAAAATAATTTATACAACAATTATATAAATACAAAAATAATATACACAAAAAGTTACCAAATGTGGCTGGTTAAGTTAAATGCAGATAAAATTTGTTGTATTAATGTGTACTTTTTGCATATACTGTACATCTTTCAATAGTTACCCACATTAAACTGGCTACAATGCCCTGCCGTAATACAGTTTTATACTAGTAAGATACAGCTGTACAATACTGTGAGAACAAAATTTGCCTACAACTTTGTAAAAAAAAATAGTAAATCACGTAACACTAGAAATAACATTAATTTCTGCAATCCGATATAAAAGCTCGCGCGTGAAATTTTAGAGATAGTTTGGAATTCTTTGCATATCAAATTCAAAATTTCATATCCTACCTGACGATATTTTTCAAAGATTTGAAAGTATAAAAGAAAAAATGCATATAAATTTTACGTATATTGAATCGCATATTTTAAGAGATGTTAGAAAAGTTAAACGTATTAAAATAATATGGAATATAAAGCATGTTTTCTTTTACTTTTTATTACATTACATATGTGAAAAATTGATTGTTTGTTTGTACTAATTATAATACATTTACATCCAAGCGCTTTAAAACTTTTTAAGGGAGTATCACAAAAGTTAGTCGACAGGGTACCGAAGAGCTGGCAGCTATCTCAGACAAAGAATTAGTAAATTCAAAGGGGGAACGCTGCCAGTATCTTCGGAACCTTGTCATCATTCGTTTATAACAGTGGTTCCCAAACTTATTTTGTCTACTGCCCACTTTGAGAATAAATATTTTTTGTAGCGCCCCCATATTTTCACATATTTAAAAACCACTATAACTTCAAATTAAATTAATTAATTATTGTGACCTATATATGTATATTAACGGAGAATTCTAAACGAAACTTTTACTATAACCCGCAACTTGAGACCTGCAGCGCCAACAAGGGGGCGTTATCGTACACTTTAGGAAAGACTGGTTTATAACATGTAATCATAGATTTAAGACTCATTATTCTTAATAGTAATAAATTTTTTTTTGTTTTCTTTACTATCTTAAAAACAGAATACATATTGTTTTCGAGATACGAGACTTATACAGTTTGATTACAATGATGCGATAAATTATCGAACTTTCGAAACTTCGCTTGTGTTAATAAGACTTTAATAGTAAAAAGTAACAAATAGCAAACAATTTATGAACAATTCAATATCTTAATAGCCAATGAATCTAATGAATAGTATTAAATCTATGATTTAAAATAAAATATTAAAAAAACGAATAATTTACCAAAAAATATTATTAAAAGGCGTCCCATTAGGAACCATTATTTTATAACCAATTATTTATACATAAAGTAACGTAATTTTATAACATAATATACATTTTTAGACATTACTAGTTAGAATCCTTTGGCGCGAATGACGTGCTTTCGTTACCAAGTCAAGTGACAGACTGATTAGTGAGGGGACATAAACGTTGACATTTTAATAAGGCTAGTGTTGCCACACACCGGCACAATGTCGGATTTTCTTCCTAACACATACAGAACCCGAACAAATCTTTTCCCTTGTGATACCCTATTTTAAAGGTAAGATCTATACATAATAAAATCAAAGTGTCTGTATGTAATATCCAAAAAAAAATCGACCGTTAATGATGCGATTATTATGTTTTTTGATAAAATAATTAATAATATAAAAAAAATCTGTTATTGAACGTTTCTTTATGAGAATGACAATTCACGACAGAAAGAAGAGTAAAAAAAATATGAAAAAAGACTGGCCACTTAACCCCGGGGCTGGTGTTGCCGAAAAAAACAATTTTTGTCTATCCGCGAGGACGCGTTTTTTTCGGGCCCTCTTGACCAATTTTGACTGGACTAAGACGAAAAGCTGATGCATGCGGGCATATTATAGGCTACTAGTTTTTTTATATGTTCAGATGAAGTCGCGGACGACAGCTAGTGGTAGATTTTGTTAAGGATATTACAAATCAATCTTAAATTAATTATGAAATTATATTTTTCTGATGTAACGGTGTAAGTTGACGGCCGATGTCTTCTAAATCTTGATTATAACTTTTTCAACTCTCTTTAGACCTCAGTATAATTATTTAAAAGTAAGTATACGAATCGTCTGTTTCCGAAAAAATCTTAAATATTCAGAGTTTATCTTTAATTCCATGGGCTGCCAGGAGAAATCATAAGGACCATCCGTTCGCTATTCAGAGCCTAAGTTGAGAGAGCGAAGATTACCTTGATAATGATCGACGTTCGTAAGAAAATTGCACTTTAATTTTAAAATTAATGTGCTGCGACATCACCTCGTTGCATTTCAGAAGTTCTTTTGTCATATAAATTTTGATGACAATGTGTTCCATTTGAAGAGTTTAGATGACTTTAGGGAAAATATTAGAGATTGTTGGGTTCGAAGTTTCGATGTGATGATAAGGATTTAATTCTTATGTTTGAATTATCTGTGACTTGGCTTGGATTCAGATTTCAATAGTATTTTTTTGTCATTTCTAAATGTTTGAATCTTAGTATAAATTAGGTATTTGTAACTCTTCCATGTGCTTTATAGGTTCCGATATAGATTTAAAATTAAGCCGATAGTAATGTTGAATACTGTCATGCGATCCGAAATAGTTAGAGGGTTCTCGCAATTCTGATGCACTGTCCGATTAGATAAGTATCCCTTAGTTACAGGGAGTATAAATGTTTTAGCATTAAATGCTTTGTTGTGCTGTGTGCCTTAAAGTGCCCATTAGGTCTATTATAGTTGGTGATTGTCTCTTAGATTCTTCTTTAGGTCGATTTTCTTAGTCATTCGATTATGACACCAGTCGTTCAGGCAACTGGCTCATCGTATTACGGTAATGTATGACAAGAGAATGGATTTGCATAAGCGCAACTTCTTAACCTTGGATATATCTCATCATCATCACAAAGTCTCCAGTTGAAACTAGCCAAATTTTTATTTTATCTTATTCTTCCTGGCCTTATAAAATCATAAGTTGTTATTTTATGTTCCTTCTATTTTTAATACAAGGACATCTCAAATTTTATGATCTTTCATCAACAATCCTTCTTCTTCTTCAGTCCTTGACCTGATCCCATTTACTTGGAGACGGTCATCTTCATTAACCGTTGTCGTCGTGGCATGTTTAGGGCAAGTAAGTAGGTAAGTAAGGTAAGTAAGTAATCGTATGATCGTCGGGACAGCGTTGGATGTGGCCGTACCGTAAACGCTTTTCTTTTAATTCCTCTTTCTTTTCAGCAATGATCCCATTGTCATAAAAGTCAGTGAATATCCCTGTGAATAAGATATGTTATCAAAGTTTGATTGATTCAATTATAAATAGAAAAGATTATATGTAGTTATACTAACCAGTTAACGTGTAATCACCAGATAAAATCGTTTCTATCTTCTCGTCTTTCTCCGCTTCCATATCTCCTTTGACGTCCGACCTGGTATCCATCTCTTGCTTTCCATCTGTAAAACATAAATGAAAAGTTTCAATACCATCGAAGCGTCAATAGCCTAAGGGTACGGATTTCCGATCACGAGGTCGGGGGTTCGAATCCCGCCATTCCAGTATTGTCGTAAACTATATCCTAACACGAGCATAGAGCTTAGTTGGAATGGTAAAAGAAATATTAGTAAATTTACAAAAAAATCTGCTAAAATTTTACAAAAAAAAAAACAAATAGTAATAGGTCTCCAAATATACAAGTGGTGTGCTAAGAAAACTTATTTGTCGCGAGCGTAAAGCGTTTTGGTGTATTTAATTTAAGAAAATCAATGATGATATTTATAAAAAAAATTGACAATAAAAAAATCACCCTGTTCTCTTGTTGGGCTCAGAAAGAATTTCGCCAGGCGCCGAGTTCATGAACTATCCAAGCCAACATTCCCGTTTGCACCACCTGTTGTTGAAATAAAATATTAGAGTCAAAGAATTATTTTAGAGTTTTGTAAATGTTGTTAATTAAGTTATATCGGTGTCATCGATGAGTAACAGTACATAGCATGCGTATCTATTTTTTTACTATCACGTAATACTCCTACAATACTATTAAGAGAATATTTATCTGTGAATTTACGCATAATATATAAATATATAAATAAATAAATAAATAATCACTTAGAACAAATACTTACGTACTTAAATAAAACTTATTCGTAGTGTTTAGCGAAAAAACACTATTTTATATTTGGTGTTTGAGTCTCACCTATTATAAGATTCAATCACCAACTTAGGTAAAAAAAACAACGCGATTGATTTGAGGGTAGTCGAAAAACCACAGATTGTTTAAAAAGTAAATAAACATTTTGTCTGTGCGCGATCCAAAAGGTATAAACGGAGAATAGATGAAGGAACAAGAGGAAAAGGGAAAGAAATATTAGCCAAACGGCCAATGGGCCACTAAAAAGTGGCCAATTCAAAAATGTTGTTGCCGATTCTTTCACTTCATTGTCAACATTCATGGTAACGTTCAAATCAGTATATCATCAGTTCACGTCAGAGCTGTAATTAGTATAGCTGCAAGCGAGGATATGTGTTTGATGCATTTCGATGTTTCGACCGCTTTTCTCTATGGATTATTAGATGAAGAGATTTTCATGAAACAACCTGAAGGATACGACGATGGCTCTGGTCGAGTATGTCTATTAAAGAAGAGTTTATATGGCTTGAAGCAAGCTCTAAGGTGTTGGAACCGTCGTATACTGGATTTCTTCAAAGAAACTGGTTTCAAAGTAAGCAATGCTGATCCTTGCTTATTTCTAAGGAAAAATCAAGGTGGTATTCTGATTGTGGTTTTATATGTTGATTATGGCCTGATTGCCGGATCAAATCAAACTTTATTGGATGAGTTTCTCGAAGAAATGAAGCGTCATTTTAAAATAACCAGCAAGTTACTTTCTGAGTATTGAAATTGAAACCAGAGAAGGTGGAATTAAGATCTCCCAGACTTCATGTACCAATAGAATGATTGAGAGATTTGGTATGCAGAATTGTAGAGCTGTTCATCATCATCATCATCATCAGCCTATACTAATCCACTGCTGGACATAGGTCTCTCCCGTGGCACGCCACTAAGCACGATCCTCGGCCACTCTCATCCAGCACTTGCCAGCTGCCCTGCGAAGATCATCGACCACTCCACTGAGTCTGTGGACTGAGGTTTTCCGACCTATGGTCTCAACTCAAGAACTCGTCTACTCCAACGGTTATCGGTTCTACGGGTTATATGGCCGGCCCATTGCCACTTCAGCGTGCTAATGCGGTGGGCTATGTCGGTAACTTTGGTTCTCTGTCGGATCACTTCGTAACGAATTTTATCTTTCAGAGAAACTCCGAGCATAGCCCTTTCCATAGCACGTTGAGCAACTTTAAATTTATGGACCAGCCCTACCGTAATTGTCCATTTTTCAGCACCGTATGTCATGACGGGTAGGACGCACTGGTCGAAGACTTTAGTCTTTAGACTCTATGGATTTGGTGATGTGAAGACCTGACGCAGTTTCCCATACGCTGCCCATCCCAACTGTATTCTTCTGTTGGCCTCTCTTTTGAAGTTGTTTTTACCTAATTGCATAATTTGCCCGAGGTAAACGTACTTCTTAACTACTTCGAGAATGCTGCCTTGAACTGCAATTGGTTCCGGACTTACATGTTCATTGAACATAACCTTGGTTTTATCCAGGTTCATCCGAAGACCAACGCGTTGAGAAGAATCAGCTACGCCGTTCAGCATATGTTGCAAATCTTGCAGCCTTTCCGCCATGATGACGATGTCATCTGCAAATCACAAGTGTGAGAGGTACTCGCCATTTATGTTAATGCCGCGCCTCGTCCAGTCCAGCGTCTTGCAACATATCGTCCAATGCATTTGTGAACAATTTGGGGGATATAACGTCCCCTTGTCTCACACCTCGATGCAAGGGGATAGGTTCAGATCGCTGGTTCTGGACTTGGACGGCCATTGTAGCGGCGTTGTAAAGACTTCTCAGCACTTGGTTGTATCGCCAATCGACGTGGCATCGCTTCAAAGATTCCAGAACAGACCAGATCTCGATAGAGTCAAAGGCTTTTTCATATTCCACAAACGCTAAACACAGACGCCGATTATACTCTTCGGTAGAACTGTTACGACACCAATAATAAAAGACAATGAGTCTGTAAATAATAATGAGACACACGTGGATAACATTTTTAGACAGGTAGTTGGAGCGCTAGCATATTTGATGGTCGGAACTAGGCCAGATATTGCATACAGTGTGAGTGAGAAAATCCAAGTGTCAAAGATTGTATCAGATTGAAACGCATTCTGAGATACTTAAAGTACTGTCCCGATTTTGGCATTCTATATAAAAGGAACTATAAGAAGGGTTTACTGGTGGTTATGTTTCAGTGATGCTGATCACGGTGGGGATGTTGGCACTGGAAGATCTACTTCTGTAGTACTGTGTATGCAGGCGGAGCTGTTTCTTGGATGGGCCAAAGACAACAAAGCGTGGCTATTTCCACAACGGAAGCAGAAGTTGTAGCAGCCAGTGAAGGAGCTAGAGAGTGCATCTGGCTTACACGTCTCATGAAAGATATTGTTTATATGAAGAGGATACCTACACTATTATTGGACAACGAAGCGGCAATTCGTTTGGTGAATAATCCGGAGTTTCATAGACGAACTAAACGTACAAGGATTCGACATTTCTTTGTTCGAGAGTAAGCGACTGGCGGTCAGCTTAAAGTTGAGAAAGTAACTAGTGATCTCCAGTTGGCAGACATTTTTACCAAACCGTTGGCTAGAGCCAGGTTGAAAAAGTTGTGCGAACTTATTGGCCTCCACGCCGAGAGAAGATGTTAATGTTACTGGCTGGTAGCGACGTGAGACCGAAAAGTATAAAAAGACATAAAGAGAAGAAGAAAATAGGTAAAAGAACGGGTGGGCAAATTGCCAAATGGAAAATAAAAAGTGGCGTATTCATGCAGTTTTGATGTTATTAAGAGTCTACTGTAGAACAATATCATTCTTTCATGTATTCAAGGACGGCCAACGAGTAGACTTCTATAGCAACTAGAGTTTTCAACTAATTATTTTTTTACTCTATTTGTATTCTTTTTGGTGTTATTTTTTTTTAATCTTTAATGATTTCTGGCTTAAAACTTCTCAAGTTTTTAAAGTTTGTCAATCTTTCATTTTTTTTTCAAAACATTTTCAATCTGTTTTTCTTTTAATTTCGCCTTTAGGTTGCTGCCACTGTAAACAAGAACTGTGGTCATTGACGTATTTCAAAATGAATTGTATTTCAAAATATAAAATGTATTTCTACTGACCTGTTAGGTTAATCGTTTAAAATTATTGTTCGATCTCTTAGTCATCATCCGCTTCATGTCATGGACGGGAATTCTAAACAATTTTGTTACTATGAATTTCCACTATCATAACACAAGTGTAAGAACATTTGTATTATCTGTTCAATATTGTTATTATACAAGTGTCAAGACAGTGGAAACTCACCGTTGGTGGTCGACCAAGCTCATCACTTGCCTCCATCTGAAAGAAGAAATAACCTTCAATATAATGTTCAGACAAGCAAGCCTTTCACTATGCAGTGAAAGCTCTTTATTCGCAGTGTAATACTCCATAAATATACCGAAAATACAGAATCGGTGAATACGAAACGGTAATTTTTTTAAGGTAAAGGTGTTGTTAGATTTGTTTTACTATTTTATTGGACTTTTTATTATTATGTCTGAATTGATTGGAACCGCAAATAACAGAATCTTTTGTCGCGAATAAGGAGCTTTTACTGTACAGTATTGTATAATTAAAGCTTCTCCTACCAAAGCGCAATGTGGCTCCTACCAATGGACGGAACGTCTAATATGTGTCAGCATTTAGAAATATACTTTATTCGAGTAAAAATGTTGCTTTCATTCTGTTTAACATTCTCAAAAACACTGTATATAATATTATTATAAGATTGATTCAAGACTACGCATAAAAAAATTATATAATAGTATAGACCACAGCCTTACTCTTTTCGCCTCCAAGGAACAGCAAAAATATCGCCAAGCACCGAGTTCTTGAACTATCCAAGCCGAAATTCCCGTTTGCACCACCTGTTGTTGAAATTAAATATTAGAGTCAAAGAATTATTTTAGAGTTTTATAAATGTTGGTAATTTAATTGTAGTCTAGATCACAGACTTACTATTTTCGCTTTTTAGGCATAGCAAAAATATCGCCAAGCGCCGAGTTCTTGAACTATCCAAGCCAAAATTCCCGTTTGCACCACCTATTGTTCACATAAAATATAAGAGTCAAAGAATTATAGTAGAGTTTTATGAATGTTGGTAATTTAATTGTAGTCTAGATCACAGACTTACTATTTTCGCTTTTTAGGCATAGCAAAAATATCGCCAAGCGCCGAGTTCTTGAACTATCCAAGGCAAAATTCCCGTTTGCACCACCTGTTGTTGAAATTAAATATTAGAGTCAAAGAATTATTTTAGAGTTTTGTAAATGTTGTTAATTAAGTTATATCGGTGTCATCGATGAGTAACAGTACATAGCATGCGTATCTATTTTTTTACTATCACGTAATACTCCTACAATACTATTAAGAGAATATTTATCTGTGAATTTACGCATAATATATAAATAAATAATCACTTAGAACAAATACTTACGTACTTAAATAAAACTTATTCGTAGTGTTTAGCGAAAAAACACTATTTTATATTTGGTGTTTGAGTCGCACCTATTATAAGATTCAATCACCAAATTAGGTAAAAAAAACAACGCGATTGATTTGAGGGTAGTCGAAAAACCACAGATTGTTTAAAAAGTAAATAAACATTTTGTCTGTGCGCGATCCAAAAGGTATAAACGGAGAATGGACGAAGGAACAAGAGGAAAAGGGAAAGAAATATTAGCCAAATGGCCAATGGGCCACTAAAAAGTGGCCAAATCAAAAATGTTGTTGCCAATTCTTTCACTTCATTGTCAACATTCTTGGTAACGTTCAAATCACGTTTTTTGCTTCAAAATTCCAAGTCTTTTTTTAAATCCCCCCATTTCTACTTTCAAGACTGACTGTCGTAACTATGGGTTTCGACTGCAGACAATCGTATTGACCCATATACGTTGACGTCCCTTACATTCTCTTTGAGAAAAACAGAGAAAACGATAATTATCAATACCAGTGTCTATGCGGTTTAAAACCACAGTAACACATGGAAAAGAACATTTTTGGTATCTCTCTTTATACAAAGAGAATGAACGGGATGGCAATATCGTTGCAATACAGTGATCGAGTGCCTATCGATTCATGTTCCATATCTTCTTTGACACCCGAGCTGGTGTTTATCTGAAAGAATAAAATAAGTCCTTTCAAGACAACGCCAATTCACAGAAAGATTGACAGATATTACAGACTTCTGTATGTAACTAGAACATTGGAAGAACTTCGAGTGAATTTATGAATTAACAAGCTGTTGCCCGCGACTTCGTTCACACGGTATTAAAAAAAAGCTTAGTAGCGTATGTGTT